CAACAAACCTCCTGTCATTACAATTTTCTGTCCCACTTTGCAGGCAACATGTGTTTTGTATGTTGCTGTGTCAATATTTCTATTCAACTTTGCTATGTCAACAGTCATTGTGCAGGGTAGGCTCTGTTCACTGCATGGTGCTATAAATGATGGACTCAAACCTGTCTTTCCCCTCCCCATACCAAAACTATTTTGTACATCAGAAAACATAGGCTCAGTAACTGACCATTCACAATTTAATGATGTCCAGAAATTATGTCCATGTTCCTTTCATTTGCATATATTTCACATTGCTACAAAGATATGTTTCTTTACTGAGAAACTATACATTCATTGAGGAAACAGTGCCTAGAGTCATAGATTCACAGAGGTGTACAGCACGGGCCCTTCAGTCCAACTCATCCATGCTGACTACACGCCCAAAATTAACGTAGTCCCATTTGGCAGCATTTGGCCCATTTCCCTCTAAACCCTTCCTATTCATATACCCATCTAGATGCCTTTTAAATGTTGTAGTGCTTCAGTAACCTCAAGGTCCAGTTTATCAATCGATGCCAGCATCAAAAAGAGCTGACTTCAGCTCTGATCTGAAGTACATAAGGATTAGAAATGGCCTAAGCTACTAGTTTGGGGATCCCTACCGTACACTATGACAACTTGCAAGTGCATGTTGTTCCCCTGGTGTCAATAATTTATAAAAAAACTTACATCTATATTTACATTTCCACTGTCTCCTGATCTCCTCTTTGGGCTCTCATTGGAAGCTTGTGTAGGACCTAGAACTGCAGACAATACTTGAGCTGATACAATGAACAAGCGGCTAAAGCTCTGCTGATGCATGTGAAGATAGTGTCTGTCACGCATTTGTGAAAAAAAAAGTCAATAATAATTTCTTAGGAGAGAAAGCGATTGAATCATATAGGGAAAAGAGAGACAATGTGAAACATCAATTGACAACACAGTGTGGAGCTGGAGGAACACAGCAGGCCAGGCAGCATCAGAGGAACCGGAAAGTTAATGTTTCGGTCGGGACCCTACCTCCGAGACGACCGATTTCTGGGTCTGACAACCTCAAACATCAACTTTCCTGCTCCTCTGATGCTGCCTGGCCTGCTGTGTTCCTCCAGCTCCACACTGTGTTATCTCTGACTCCAGCATCGGCAGTTCTTACTATCTCTGAGTGAAACATCTACTGCTGTGTTTATAACAATGACTTATATCCATTCCTAAGACTTCTCATAGAGTTAATTTAAGAAATAGAAACATTCTCCTGATTTGGACATCACTGACAAGTCCCGCAACCACTACCCATTCCTGGGTATGATTGAGGACAACGTTTTAATACAAGCTTTACTCAGCCACTTTGGAGAGGAGGGGTCACATGTGGGCCTGACCAGGAACAAAGCTGAATTTTTACAATAATCTAACAATGCTATTTCAGTGATATTTCTATTTCTAGATTTTGTTGGTGGGATTTCAACTGATCCTGTGAATTACTAGCCCAGCCCTCTAAATCAATAGTAAACCATCATAGCCACTGCATTACTGTTCAGTCTAAGCAATAAGTGCACTATTAATTGACAAGTTCCCATGAAAGTAACTTCTCCTAAATTAAAAAAAATGCACTTAGAATAAACCATTTGACACATCATTAAGATAATGTGCACATTAATATACTTTTTCCACAATTCACACACTGATTCCCTGATCTGTTCAATTCTCAGTGTCACAATAAGTTGCTCCAGTTAGGAAAAGGATGAGGCTATTGAGCCCATTGACTTAGATCATGGTTGAGATGCTTCCTAACTTCATCTAACCACAATTTGCTTCCTTAACCCTTCGCACCCTTGGTTAACAAAAACCTTTTGATTTCAGTTTTTGAAATTCTGAATTCACTCAGTCTTTTTTTAATTGCAGTGGTCTTACACAGGTTGTCTTCATCGTCAGAACTTTCCCTCCTCTCTCACTGTAGTCAGCTCAAACATTGTCTGGAGTTGAAGGTCCCATCAAGGCTTCTAATGGGAACATTAAGGGGAAGTTTGGACATAATAGAAATGTAAAGGGATGTCAGTTAATTATAAATCATCATTAGCATTTGGGGGAGAGATTTCTAGAATCCTGCTCACATTTGTGTGAAGAAGTACCCCCTAACATCACCCATGAAGAATCAAGCTCAATTATTAAGGTTATGCCTTCTTGTCCCTGAGCAGAAGGTCAGAACAATGACCTGGATAGCTCCAGTAAAATAGCTGGCACAGAAACTATAGGCTGAATGGCCTTGTTCTTTGAATCCACAGCTCAATTCACCAGGAAGTGTGTGTGAATGAGCCTTATGCTGTGTACTTCTCGAGAGATAATTTCACCCCAAATCTATCTATCATTTGCTAAAAATCTAGCATACCATGCTTACTTATTGCACCATACTATCTCATCTCATCACACTTTGATGAAGATGGCTTTTTGCTTCAAATTTGTATCTCCAATCTACCAGTGCAGACCTGCTTTATAGTCTAGAATCTCAGAAAAGGAGGTGGTCAGTTGGTACATGGTGCCTGAGCCGACCTTTTAAGGGAGATGGTCAATTAATCTCACACCCCCTTCTTTTACCCCATAGATCTGCAGATATTCCATTTTTGAAAGGATCTGTCTGATTCTCTTTCTTGACATTCTTATCGAATTTGTTTCCACCAATCTTTCTGGCAGTGCACTCCAGAATACGTGAACTTGTGACTAAAAGTGTCCTTTTTCGCTCATGGATGATTTAAAACCAACGTCCAATTATCTTTGAAGTTTTGTGTCCAACACAGAAGTGTCACACTTGCCATGTTGTGCCATGTTTTGTGAATGCCAAGCCTTTTGTTACAAGTCAGTGAGCATGCCTCAGAGCTGAGAATTGCACATCAGCCATCTCGCACGTGGAACGCATTTCTCACAACTCTCACACTCACTTTGTGTCACGCTTTCTCTGTCACGCCTGGTTGGGAACATCCGTGAAACGGCCCATTCTCTGCCAGTGGAAACATTCTTTCCGATCTGACCAAGCTTTTGGTCACCAGTTTTAATATCTCGTTACTGAGAATGACTGCTGCATTGAAAAGGGGTTGGTTAGCTCTGATGGCTGGACAGCTGCTTAGTAATACCAACGGAGTTAGTTCAATTCCTCCACTGTCTGAGGTCACTGGGAAGGCCCCATCTTCTTAACCTTGTCTATCACCTGAGGTGTGGTGACCTTCAGGTTCATTTCACCACCAGCTGTCTCTATCTCTCTATGGTCCTCCAGGATTTCGATGACTTTACTTGCAACAGAGTAAAAAGACCATTCATTCAGACTGTTAAGCCTGTGCCAGTTCACTGTAAGCTCGTTTCAACATTTTCCTTTCAAATCCTTATCCAATTCTCTTTTGAATACGCAATTGAACTCAATCCCAGTTTCTAACCACATGGTGCCTTCAGTTCTTTTCCCGATTATATTAAGCCGTGTCCTCTGCTTCTCAACCCTACCATAAACAGAACATTTTCTCCTTACCTCAAGGAATTCTGGAAGTCGTGGTCAGGAAAGGTAAACTTGAGAATAAGACACACTGGTCCAACTTGTGTTGCATACTTTAGCAGGGTGCTCTAATAAGACCAGTGTAATCATTTCCAAGAAATTACTGCTTTAGCCTTAGTTTCTCTCCCTGCGCTTGGACCCCAAGTGGGGTTTTAGGTTGTGATTTGGTAATGGAGTTTCAGCCAAGTCTGAACAGCAGTGTTCCCACTCTAGCAGGCCCACTCTGCCATCTCAGCTTTCAGCGAGGGGTCTCAACCCCTCAACAATCTTCGAAAGGGGACCAGAGCAGGTTAAAGTTTGGAAAGCATTCCCCTACCTGGTCTTTTGTCACACTCCTCTATCAAATCTCATTTCAATCTTTGCTTCCCTAACAAAACGTCTTGTTTGATGATGCTGCAGTGAAGCAGTTCACTCTGCTAAAAAGGTGCAACGCAAATGCAGGTTATTGTTTCACGTCTTGTCAGCAGATGCTGTGTGTCAAACAAAAAAAACTGTTCCTAAATTTAAGTTTATTCTGCATCCAGCAATAACATCCTCCTGTTTGTGCTGATCTCACACCCCACTGCATGTTGTCCACTGGAGATTTTTATTCCCCCTCCTTAAACATATACCACCCCACACCCAACTTATTTTTCCACCAGAAGCTGACATATTTAACCTCACAAATAACTACATTGGTCCCCTGGGGACCAACTCAAATGACAACAAGGGGTTGGAGGGGACAGAAAAAGCCCACACTAGCTCCTTTCCACATTGCAGACTTCCCAATAGTATTTTGACCAGGGTTTGCAATAAACACAACTGCAGCCAGCAAGGAACGATACACACCTTTCCCAGCCACACTGTGTGATGTTATTATTTTAATCTCTCCAGCTAATGCTTGCTTTGGATGCCAGGTACATCAACCTCTTTCTTTAAATACGTGAGTACAATTCACCTTCCACCATGCCCAGCCTTCCTGATAACAGGGCTCCACTGTTTCGTCTGTACCAAATCTGTGCTCTTTTCCTGTTATACACAGCATTTAGAGTATTGGTCCATTTAAAATCTGACAGATGCATCTTCGACAGAACATGCAGGAACTGGCATTCCCCGGCAAGGAGAGAAAGGGGAGAGACTGAACCATCTCCAAATACAATGAACTCACAAACTGAATCATTTCCCCGGCAAACGGAGGGAGGGAATGGATACACATGCAAGCAGAAAGAAACTGCAATTGCACAAAAGCATCTTTTTAACTGCAGCAACAAGGCGGAAAGCCCCAGTTGGAACCGGGACACGAATCAGAGTAACAAATGATTAACAGTTCAACGTTTGTGCATCTTGCAGATTTTGGGATCAGATTCCTGGACTTTCTTCCGTGTGGCTGAGGAGGGGGCAGTGCCCCTTGACGGGGTTGGGGGGTTTCACGGTATTCGGGGGAAGGGGTAGGGAGGAAACTGGCACCAACCTGGGCTGCCTGCTGCTCCCGGTGTTGCGAGCGCTGCGCTGCTCGGGGACCGCGGCTCCGGCTCCCGATCGTCCGCCCACATCAGCCCCGCAGCCGCTGGCGGCTCCGGCTCCGGCTCCAACGCGGGGGAG